CCCTTGCAGGCCTGAGTGCCAGTTCCAGCCCTTGGTTCCTCCAGAGCCCTGCTGGCCTGTCTGGGGCTGGGTGGGCGTGCAGGAGGAGTCCATGCATGCCGACCCCCCAAGCCTCCAGCCCTCCACCTTTCAGGGGTTCTGGGTCCTGAGGTTAACTGTGGGGATGCCGAGGGGTTGTAACTGTTGGGAGCCCTCCAGGCTGAAGCGGGCCCCTCGTCCCCTCCGCTGCAGACAGAGTCACTGATCTCCGGGCCTCAGTGTCCCTCTTTCCCCGGACCTTGGCCAGGATCACCTGAGTCTGCCCACGGCCTCCAGCTGTCTGGGAGGAGGGAGGAGCCGGGTGGACCCTGGGCGGGGCCGGGGGGGGGCCCAGACTCCTCCCTGGGGACCAGCTCTACCCAGCTGGGCAATGGGCAGGTCTGCCTGCCCCAGGCAGGGGCCTTGACGGTCACAAGCCTCTTCCCAGGGCAAAGAGAAGCCGTTTATCTGGTAACCAGCTCTGCCTTCCCCATAAAGCTGTCATAAAAGGGCCATTTGTCAAGGCCAAGCAGGACCCGGAGCTGTGCAAAGGTCTTCGCAGCCGTTCAGAAACTGCTCTCACGACAGTCCTGTGAGGTCAGCCTAGTTTCCTCCACTTTATTTCATTTTTAATTTGATTTTATAGCCTTGAATAGCTAATACGTTACATGGTCTGGCAGTGGAACTGACATAGAGAGGCTGACACAGCATCTCGTTTCTGTCCCCGTGGCGTCGGCCCCGCCAGCCACAGGCAACCCTCGCCCTGGGTTTTCGTTTCCCCCCCAGCCTGCCTTCTGCAGGTGCAGACGTGAACATAGCCGTAGGTCCTCCAGGGATACCAAGCTCCGAGGATGCTCACGTCCCTTCTGTAACATAGCACAGGGGACTTCCCTGGTGGTCCAGTGGTTAAGACTCTGCGCTTCTAATTCAGGGGGCCAGAGGTTCGGCCCCTGGTCAGGGAACTAAGATCCCATATACCGTGAGGCACAACCCCTAAAATTTTTTTTAAATCGCACAGTATTTGCATGAAACCTACACAAATGTGCCGTCAATCTTCTCTAGATTACCTGTGACACTTAATGTGATATAATTGCTATGTAAATAGCTGCCAGGGCATTGCAGGCTCGAGTTTTTGCTTTCTGGAACTTCTGAGAAGTTTTACCCCTGAATATTTTCAATCTGAAACTGGTTGCATCTGAGGATATGGATCCAGAAGACACAGAGCGCCGATTGCATACATTTTTATGTCCTTCCCTTCCTTACACTAAAAGTCGCACATCTTTCCCTCGTTCTGCACCGTGATACTCTGTGTATGACAGACCCTGAAGTCCTTGATATCAATGCAGGGGCCTCTTGCCTTCTTTTCGCATGGCCTCGTAGTACCCCCTCGTGCAGGCGTGCCACAGTGTATTCAGCTGGCCCTTTGATAATGACAATGCGGTTTCCCATCTTCCTTTATTACAGGGACCGCCACAATGGTGAGCTCGTACACTCCCAGCTTCACATGTGACCAGGTGCACATGTGGCACAGATTTCCAGAAGTGAGTGACTGGGTCTGAGGTCAAGTGAGGTCCAAGGTAAGTATGCAAGAAGCTGCCAGATACACCCCCCCTGACACCCCACACGCCCCGAGCAGTGTGCCCCAGGGCTCATGCCCCCAGCCTTCCCATCCAAGGAAGCGCTCTGGCTTTCGGACCCTGGGAGATGAGCCGCAGTGTCGCGATGCCCTGGTAACCTGTGTTTTCTCTGCGGTGGATGCCTTTGCTGCGTCTGTCATGTTGATGTCCTTTTCTGTGACTGATCTCTTCCTATCCTTTGCTCCTTTTATTTGTCTTTTACGTCTCTAGGAGTCCTTTGTGTACGAGAACAGTCCTAGTCTATTGTTCGCATGGTAACTTTGCTGATGGTGATTTTTGCCTGAAATCACTTTTCAGGTTTTTATTGTTCTGTGGCTGTGCTGGGGCTCTGCTGCTCCCCAGGGCTTTCTCTAGTTGTGGTGAGTGGAGTCTCCGTTGGTGTTCGCAGGCTTCTCATTGCGGTGACTTCTCCTGTTGCAGGGCGCGGGCTCTAGGGCACGCGGGCTTCGGTAGCTGTGACGCACGGGCTTCTGCTGCTCCACAGCCTGTGGGATCTTCCTGGACCAGGGACCGAACCCATGTCCCCTGCATTGGCAGGCGGACTCTCAGCCACTGTACCACCAGGGAAGTTATTAATCATTTTTACGAGTCTTGATTTTTCATCATAATTAGAAGAAACATTTTCCCACTGTGAAGTTTTAAAGGAAGTCACTCATGTATTCTTCAATATGTGAATGTTCTCTTAAGCTTATTTTTTTTTGTTGTGGTGACATAAAAGTAAAGTGTAATTCCCCATTTTAACCTTTTTTGGTGTTTCAGCTCCAGGGCATCAAGCACATTTGCATTGCTGGGCAACCACTGCCATCCATTTCCAGAACCTTCTAATCATTTCACGGTTTTTTAAAAAATATTATTAATAATTACTTGATCCCTTTGAGATGCATAATGCTGCCGTATCCTGTAGGTAAACCGTGGGCCCAAGTTTATCTTGTCCTGAATGGTTATCATGTTGTCTCAACATCACTTATTTAAAAAGCCCATCTTGGGACTTGCCTGATGGTCCAGTGGTTAAGACGCTGTGCTCCCACTGCAGGGGGCGCCCAGTGCGGGTTCGAAGCCTGGTCTGGGAACTGGGTCCCACCTGCCGCAACTAAGACCCACTGTAGCCAAATTAATTAATTAATTAAAAATGAAAAGCCCATCTTAATTTGATTTTATCAAGCCCGTATTATTTTTTATTTAAAAAACTTATTTTAAAAAATTTTAAAAAATAAAAAATATAATCTATGTTGGAGAACTGACTAACACTGCTGTGTTAGTTTCAGGTATATAGCAACGTGATTCAGTTATACATGTATATGCATCTGTTCTTTATCAAATTCTTTTCCCATTGAGGTTATTAGAGAATATTGAGCAGAGTTCCCTGTGCTATAGAGGGAGCTTGTGATACAGGTACTTGTTGGTTATCTGTTTTAAGTACAGCAGTGTGTACATGTCAATACTAAACTCCCGGCATCTCTGTCCCCTTACACTCCCCCGCCCCCACCCTGGTGACCATAAGCTCCTGCTCTAAGTCTGTGAGCCAGTTTCTGTTTTGTAAAGTCTGTTTCTCAAGCCCATTTTCCAGCTGGGGAAGCTGAGACCCAGAAGCGAACCCACGTATCGGTCCCGGCTCAGCTGCGTCCTCCGGCTCCCACATCCACCTGCTGCTGCTTCTCTGCGCCCGTCGGCCGTGGCCCCGAGACCATTTAGACAGTGCCCTTCGTGACCACATTAATACGAAGAGCCTGCAGGCCAGGAGGGAAATGCGGACACTGAGGAGAGTCCATCACCCTGACCTCTCAGCGTGGAGTCCTGCTGAGAGAGCCACAATCTGGGACGGAGGGCGTGGGCTGGGAGAAGGGGAAACACCTTTCAAATTCCAGCTCTGAAAACATCCTGGAGAGGCGAACGAGGCTGTGTTTGTTGGCAGCTGTTACTGCTGCAGACTCCAGCCTGCCTGGTGGCCCCCCGGGGCCAGGTCACTCAGAAGGAAGCCCACCTGTCTGGGGGCTGCAGACAGGGGGCCTGAAACCCCTCTGGCACTTTCCCCCGCTTGTTGCCGGGATACACTCTAAAAGGCCCAAGATGGTTCAGGCCCCCTACCCCCACACCAGCCTGAGCGACTTTCCCTGCTCTCTCAGAACTCAGAAATGCGGCCTCATGGACATAGCTCATTATTTCCGAGAGGATCCAGAAACCGTCCAGGGATCCAGCCTCCCATCCAAGTGCTGCGGAGGGGAGTGGGTCGGGGCGTGTGACCGCACGGGTCAGCTCCCCAGCTTCCGTGCAGCCGGAGGGGGCTCTCCTCCCCAGGCCTGGCCCTGGCCTGAGGCCGGGCAGCATTCTATTCTGCCTTTTCGGGGTCTGCCTCCCCACAGCAACCATCAGCTGGGCCTTAGGTGGGCGTTGTTTCCAGGCCAGGGGTCTTGGAGCCCCTTAACCCTGAGGCTCTGGGTTGAAACCATTTAACACCATTTTATCTTGTTCTCTCTACCCGTATCTTGGTCAAACCGGGAAATCAAAAGACAGGGGTGTCTATCATGTCAGGGCTCTTCCCTCATTGGTGGGGCCAACCCCCCTACCAAGACAGGGAGTTTGGTGTGTCCCCAGACCCACCTCCTCTCCTGACAAAACCACCAGACTGTCCCCAACAGGGGCTCCCCAACAGGGGTTTCTGCTGCAGCTAATCCTGGGGAGATCGAGGTCTCTGAGAGCCCTAGTGAATCTCGAAGACGAGAGGGCCTGGGAGGTGGGGGGCGTTGAGGTTTGGGAGGCCAACTGGAGAATATGGATGTGGATTGCAGACAGAAGCTTGCCCTCCCGCCGAGCTGCCAGCGGACAAGCGACGGGGAGACTGGGGGTGCTCCCGGCTCTCGACGTCTGGGGACTGCTGTCGCCACCACGCGGCGCGCGCTGCACCTGCGGTCACAGGTACTGCCGGTTCGCTCAGCGCAGGTGGGCTCGGGGGCGGAGCCTCAGGTGGGCGGGGCCTGGGCGGGGCGTCGGCCCGCGGTGGGTGGTGCCTCGAGTGGGCGGGGCGCTGGCGCGCGCGCGCGCGGCGGNCCGGGCCTCGCGCACCTGGGCGCTGCCCGGCTCGGCGGCGCGGTCCCGCCCCGGCGGCGCTCAGGCCCGGCCTGCGCTGCCCGCGCGCCCCCGGGTCCCCGCCGCGCCGGACGTGCGCAGGGCGAGGAGCAGGGGCCTCGCTGACCGGGTCCCTGTCCGAGCAGCGGACCTGCCGGGGTTCACCGAGGGAGGCCTCGGCGTGGGAGCTTGGGGTAGGGAGGGGGGCGACGAGCGCTTCACTTCCCGAAGCCCGTGGCTCGCGTCTCATCTTTCTCCTCGGTGAGTGGGGGTCTCCGCCTCTTCTAACTGGAAACAGAGGCCATTCGCTACTTCTGCAGAGTTCCGGACACTGCGCACTTCCACACACCTGCCCCGCCACCTGGCCTCGGGTCTGTGTTGGGAAAGCACGGTCGCTCTGCCCTGCCCCTGCCCGTCCCCTGCCCCCCGAAGCAGTGTCCTCACTCGCCACGTGTCCCGGAGCCCTTACCCAAGCGGCGCTCGCCCCTTCTGCTCACATTCCGGGAGCAGCCGGAGGCCGCGTTGCTGGAAGTCCCCCGCTCTCCCTCTTGTGTTAATGATTACGCTCTTGTTTACCTTCCCCACGGTAGGGTAGCCTAGAGAAGTGAGATCCTCCCCCTGACAGTTCATTCAGAGTTGGCTGCCACTCAGCCCCCCCTTGCCAGGTGTCTGTTATCTGGAGGTCCCATGGTGACAGATGGGTGGCTTCCGGGCAGTGTGGCCTGGCTGCCCATTGCCCTCCCCTCGCCCCTCGGTTGGCATCGGCCAGGTTTTGCCAGCACGGGTTGCTACACAGGAGTCTTAATGAAGTGTTGCCGAATGCCTTGGCTGCCATCTCTGAAGCCCAGTCCGCAAGCCTGATGTCTTTGCTGGCTGGGGGTTGGGGGGGGGGCGGTGGCCCTTTTTAAAAGAGCATTCCTTTAAGCAGGTGGGAGGGCCTGGAACACTGAAAGTGGGCTGTGCAGGTGGGTGGGGCACACCTGCAACTTGTTGCATTGTGGATGCTTGCCTCCTATCCGAGAACTTCCCTCCCTGGGTCCAGTAGGAATGTTTGAGCTCGGTAGAGGATGTCTGCTCTTACAACTTTAAGCTGGACCTCTCGGTATTCCAGAATAAAACATTTATTAATTCAGAACCACAAGCGAGGCTTCTCGCCCGAGCGCGTTTGCGTCTCGTGCTTGAGCAGGGCTGGCCTTTAAGGGACAGCTTCCAAGTTCAGCATCGCTCACTTTCAAGGTAGTTGCTAAAAATGGGAGTTGAATCGCGGCTACTGGGGAAGTCGGCTCCGGGGCTTGCTGCGTTCCAGCCCTTTCTCCAGCCCTGCGGCTGAGGGCTGAGGCTGCCGCCAAGCGAGGTCGTTTTCCGGACCATTCTTTGTCTACTGTGGTGCGTGCTTTCACCCTCAGGCTCTGCCATAGCTGGAGAGTTGTTTACAGTCTCAGGCAACCTCGGATTCCTGCCTGTGTCCTAGCTGTTCCCGAGTCTAAAGGTTTCTGGATGGACTTTCTGGGCAGCAGGTCCAGTCCGCACGGGAAATGGAGCCCCGGCCAGTGGGGACGGCCCTCTGTGTGGCTGCTCCTCGGGGCAGTAAACAGTGACTCACTCTCCACCCTGCTCCCCACCTCCCTGTTCTCGGCTGATGGAAGATGCATTGCTCCGGTATTTACTTTTGCTTTTTATAAGTCACAGACTCGTCATGTTTCCTCTTTCTTACAGTTTCAGGAAATTGAGAGTGTCATCTCACAATCGTAGGATTTTAGAGCAGGTAGAGATGAACCTGTGGGGTCTCAGTCTACAGAACAGTCTACAGGTTCTCGCTGAGGAAACAGCCCCACGCGCACTGCCTGCCTTTCCTCACTGCCCACCTGGGTGCCCTGGGCAGAGGGGCAGAGAGGAGACGGGGTGGAAGCTGCCCCAGCCCTCTCCCTCATGCAGGTGCTGGCACCTGCTCATGCAGCAGACCTTCCACCTGCCAGGAGTCGTGGGGAGCGGGGAGGTGAGAGTGCCCCTGCCATCCATCCGGGCACTGCCCTGGCTGCGTGTTCAGGAGGGGGGCGCCCACCTCCTGCACGTGAAGCGAGGGAAGGAAGGGGGCAACGGCGGAGGGGCAGGGGCTCAGAAGCAGGAGGGTCCCCGGCACAGATGGGCGGGGGCTTCAGGAAGCTCGTGGGGGAGGCCTGGCATGGCACCAGGTGGCCCTGGGAGTGGCGGCTTCAGGAGGGACTCGCCCCGCCTGCTTGTGGGGGCTGCGTTTGAGGCACTGGGATGGGAATCCAGACCAGACTCGGGGGCCCATGCCCAGCAGTGCTGGAGGGCTGCAGCATCACAGGGTATGTGGGCCAAGCCAGCAGGTGGGCGCAGAGGGGAGGGGAGGCCTGGGGCCGCCACCCAAGCTGGAGACCCAGGAGGAGCGCAGTGCAAGAGGGGATGTCTCTGGGACCGTGCAGGCTGGGGTGCTCCACGGCTATCGTATTCCTGGCTGGACAGAGAGGTGGGGCTGGTCGGAGCCCTGGTTGGCCCCACTGGGCTGGGGGGGAGCAGGGGCCCTGCCTGAAGCTGGGTGGTGGGGGTGGGGCATCGTTCAGTCTGCTGTCAGCCTGGCAGCCGCCTGAGTCACCTCTGGACGTGGCCAGGATGACACAGCTTCCTCAGGCTGCAAAGGCAAGGTGACCAGACGTCCTCCAGGCCAGGCAGACAGTCACGTCTTGCCGGAGGGCAGCCAGCCAGGGCCAGCCTGCAGGCTGGGTGCGGGCCGGGCCGGTGGGGTGGCCGGCAGGGTGCGGTGGGACACACCCCCATCTCAGGGAGCTGGCACAGGCGGTGGGTGCCCTCCGGGTTCTGGGCCCTGCCTCTGCTGGCCCTTTTCTGGGACTGATGAGCCGATCGGTGCTTGTCTGGGAGACAGGCACCTGCCGTGGGGCCAGCCTGAGGGGCAGTTGGCCGGGGGTCTCTCAAGAGGAGGCCCCGGTCCCCAGAGTAGAGGCAGCAGGCATGGTGGTTCAGGCTTTGGGGTTCACTCTTGGCTGCCGTGACGGTGACCTGTCCCCTCCCCCCAGATGCCCCGAGGCCTGGGAGGGAAGGTCCGCTCCATCCCCCTCTCGGGCTGAGCGGCACGGGCGTCTGGAGCCTGCCCTGCTCCACGTTGGCTCGGCTTTTCCCGCCCGGGCTCACGACCTTGGCGTGCAGACTGGTCGTGCAGTCTGGTGAGAGTCTGAGCCTCTCGAGGCCCCCTTTGCTCCTGGGGAATCTAAACCCAAGGCTGCCCAGGTGGGTCGCGTTCCCGTTTACCAGTGGCTGCGCTGATGAAGAACGGGTTCCCTGGGCCCCAGCCCAGGGAGGGCTGGAGCACACAGGGGCCGGCCAGGCCTTGTGTCACCCCAGGAGCCAGATCTCAGCCGCGGCAGGGACAAGAGAGAAAGAGGGCAGGAAGAGAGCCTGGCCCGGGCTCACCTGCCTCCTGGAAGGGCCATCCTGCGCTGTCAGACCCGGGCTCCCTACCCTGCCCTGTTTCTCACGGGCCCAGAAGGGGAGGGCCGCTCCCGAATTTACTGCAGACCACTACAGACCGTGTGGTCCTCAGGGTTGCCTCTGTCTAGGCTGCTGGGTTCCCCTTCCCTACAGGGAACGCCCTGTTTGGTGTTCAGCTGGACATCGGAATGGAGTTTCTGGCTTTGGGTTGAAAAGCAGCGTCTTAGCCAACAGCTGGCTGGGAGGTGTTCCTGGGAGAGGTGCTGGCTGCGCGTGCTGGACCAGCGGCTTCCCGGGGCGGGAGAGGCAGCTGAGGAGCCCCATCTGGGGTCCCAGCCTGCCGGCCCAGCTTTGCAGGTGACGCCGCCATGACGAGCTGCTGGCCAGGCTGTTGGGAAGGTGTGTGGAGGGTCCAGGCTCCGACGCAGCAGCGCTGGCCCTGCGCGCCCTGCCCGCGCCTGGCCACCGTCTCCCCCTGCCGGGTCCCCGCCTGTGAGCTCCGCTGGCCCGCACTGCTGCAGGGGTCACAGACACTCTTTCAGGGCGGCTCTTCCCCAGTCAGCTATCCTACAGACTCCCTCTCACACCTGCAAAACCCTTCTCTGAACCTCTTTCCAAAAGTGGGCTGTTGTTTTCTGAAGCCTGAAGTGACATCAGGTCGGTCTGGGGGTGTTTTGGGGAGAGGCGAGTAGCCTGCCGCTCCCGTCCCCACACTGAGTCCACGGGAGGGCTCTCGGCCTGCCGACCCACAGCCTGACTTTATCTTGAGCCCCCGGGCCCTCAGCGGGTGGAAGCCGAGCGCTGAAGCTCCCGGGTCTGTGGGGGTTGTGACAGTGGGCAGGGCCGGCTGGCATCTGCTTGCCTGTGGCTCACCCCCCTTCCCCCTGGGGTGGGGGTCCTGATGCAGACCCTGGGGTGAGCGCCCAGGGTCAGGGTGTGTCTCCCAGTGTCACTGGAGTGGCCCAGCTGAGGACGTTTGGTGCTGGGCCCTTGGTTCCGAGCCCCACATTTTTCAGAAGAGAAAACCAAGAGCCACAGAGAAGAGAGGGTCTGTCACCCCCAGCTTGTCGCAGAGGCTGGGATCTAGCCCCTTGGCTCCGTTTGGTTGGGTGGGGCCCTAAGGACTGGGTAAAGGCCCCTGAGGGCAGGCCCCGGGGGAACCCCAGCCAGGCTGCGCTCCTCGCCCCGGGCCCGGAGGCCAGGCGGACCCGGTGGGTTCAGCACGGGCAGACGGGGGGCCTGGGGTCTGACCCGGTGGACGGGGGCCCTGGGCCCTGGATGCCCTGCTGGGCGACATCGCGGTAGGCAGGTCCCCAGGGGAGGCACCCCTGGGAAGGCGCTGGAGCCCCGGCCGGGCTGGCAGGTCCTGAGGGTCTGCTTGGTCCAGCGCAGGCCCCCTGCCCTTCCTTTTCCCACCGGGGTGGGCGGGGCCTCCGCCTGTGGGAATGTGAGCCCGGCTCTGTAAACAGCTGGTGACTCACCGCCCAGCTATGCCCTGGCGTGCTGGGAGCGGGCTGGAATGATCGCGGCCCCTCCTCGCTCAGCATGGAGAAGTTTCTCATGGCCTCTCAGCCACCCGGCCTGCCGGCCCTCCCAGTGGCTTCTCCAGGCCCAGGCTGACTCCCGAGCCAGGGAAGGGTGGCCCAGAGGGTGCCCTGGGTCCCCAAGGGTCAAGCCGCAGTCAGGCTGCAGCCCTCACCTCCTGGTGGGGTCACCGTGGGCACATGCGCGAGCTCACGAGGGCCCGGGGGCCCAGTGCCTCCAGGGCTGGGAGAGCAGACGGGGCACAGGCCAGGGTGCTGAGGTCCTCTGGTGCTGAAGGGTGGGCTGGCCGCCAGAGGCGGGGCCGGTGCCTGGGGGGTCCCGGCGGTGCCACCGTGAGGGTCTCGGGGCTCCAGGGGAAGGCGGCCCAGCACGTCTCCCTCACCTGGAGACGGGGCCTCTGCTGAGCCTCCATGTCCGCCCCCAGACCCTCCTCGGGCGTCTCTGTCTGCTCAGTTCCTCTCGGGGTGCCTGTGAGCCCGAGACCCATGCGGGAGTTGGGGCCAGGTCTTCCGCACGCCTCGCCCGGCTGCAGGCCTGGGGGGCCCGCTTGCCCACAACCTGCGCTGTCAGTGCGGCCTGCCCAAAGCCATTGTTGCTGTGGGCTTCTCCGTTTCCATGACAACCACCAGGGGCTGGCTACGTCCCAAGGTCGCCATGGCAACTATCTGAGGGGAATCATGCTTGGGATGCTTTGGCTGGCTTTTTCATGAATGATTAGAATGTGTGACACAATGCAGACGCGAAAATGAGAAGGGCGGGCGGTGGGGGCTGACAGGCGGCGGGGACAGCTCCCGCCAGACGGTCGGTGGGCGCTGGAGGCAGCGGCTCCCGCTCCCCCAGTCCTGGGCTGGCCTGCGTTGGGAGCCCCCACCCACCCTCCGGGCCTCGGGTCACGGCTGTGGGGCAGCCTCAGTGGAGGGGGTGATGTCGCCGCTGCAGTGCCCTTGGAGGAGGTAGGTCTTCCGGGGAGGGTGGGGCTCCCCCCACTGGGTGTGGGGGCGAGCTCAGCAAGGCTGGAGTTCCCCAAAGGGGGCCTTCCTGTCGGGGGCCAGGTGGGCCCAGGGCAACAGGTCCCGCCAGGGCAGGCGCGTCCCTGGGGCCGGCGCGCTTCTCGGCTGAGGTGTGGCCTCCCTGGAAGGGACTCTGCTGCTGCACATGTGGAGCCCTGGGCGAGGCGTCCCACACACTGCCCCGGTGCTGCCATCCAGCTCAGGGCCGGAGCAGCCACGGCTCCTGCCTGGTGCTGGCGCTCGTGGCCGGGGCCCTGCGGGCGCGACAGCCAGGTGACCGCTGGACCCCAGACGAGGTGCGTCCAGGCCGCCCCGAGCGTGGATGCTGGCCTGGAGGGCGTGACCCGGCGTCCCCTCCGCCCTCGGCAGAGGCTCAGGCCCACCAGGATGCCCTTGCTTTCAGGGTGCTGCGACCGGATGGTGCGGACTGGGGAGCAGAGCCTCCCGGGTGTCCCTGCAGGGGGCCGTCCCCACTCGGGTCACTTGTGACGGCAACCTGTCCCCCCAGCCCCTGCCAGAAACTGACTGCACTCGTCTCTCTGATTTCCAGCTACCATTTCCAGGTGGTTCTGTCCGGGTGACTGTGCCCAGGTTATGACGACTAATCCCAAAGCGAACAAGGCGTTGAAGGTAAGGGAGGGTGGGCGCAGCCCCTTCTCTGCCCCGGGACCGCCCTGGCGTGTGTGGAAGGGTGCCAGTCAGCAAGGTGGGGAGGGGGCCGCGGGCTGGAGGAAGTACCTGAGGGAAGCGGGAAGAGTCAGGGCTGCGGCCTCTGGAGACGCTGGGGTAGAGGGGTGGGTGCCTACCGGCCGGGATGTGCTTATCAGCCCAGCACCTGGATGTGGGCAGCGCGGCCTCTGGTCCCGCAGAGCCCCCTGGGGCTGGCCGGAGTTGGTTCTCCGTGTCTGTGTGTGTGTGTGGCCTGCAGACCTCCGGGCCCCTGCTGGGTCCTGCTGGGTCAAGGTGGCCTTGGGGACACCCCATGGACCCGAGGGGCGGGCAGGGCAGGGCTGGGCTAAGGAGCCCAGCAGCCCGCACCAGGTACTGGAGGTCCCCAGAGGGCAGCATAGCTGGGTGGGCCTCACAGGGTTGAGATAGCTGGCTCACAGCAGGCCGTAGCCAACGGCCCCCTTGGGGTGCTCTGCGCCCGCGCGGTGTGTGCCTGACGCCCGCTGAGGCCACAGTGCCCGTCTCTTGCCTGGTGGGGTGGCAGACGGGCTTGGCCTGTCGCACCACTCACAGCCTGAGTGCTGACCCCGCACCCGCGGCCCCGCAGGTCAAGAAGGAGGCGGGCGAGAACGCCGCAGCGCTCAGCGACGATGAGCTGGTGTCCATGTCAGTGCGGGAGCTGAATCAGCACCTGCGGGGCCTCACGCGCGAGGAGGTGGTGCGCCTGAAGCAGCGGCGCCGCACTCTCAAGAACCGCGGCTACGCGGCCAGCTGCCGCATCAAGCGCGTGACGCAGAAGGAAGAGCTGGAGCGCCAGCGCGTGGAGCTGCAGCAGGAGGTGGAGAAGCTGGCCCGCGAGAACAGCAGCATGCGGCTCGAGCTGGATGCCCTGCGCTCCAAGTACGAGGCGCTGCAGACCTTCGCCCGCACCGTGGCCCGCGGCCCTGTCACGCCCACCAAGGTGGCCACCACCAGTGTCATCACCATCGTCAAGTCTGCCGAGATGGCCGCCTCCGCCTCCGTGCCCTTCTCGGCCGCTTCCTAGTGCCCGCCCGGCTGAGGGGCGCGGTCCCGCGGAGAGTGGACCTTGTGGACTCCTGTGGGCCGGCAGGCGGGAACAGAGGGCGTTCCGCGCGCCGCCCGCCCTGCACACTCACACGCACACCGCACGCCCCGCCTGCCCCGGGCTCCGCCGCCCACTCCGGGCCGTCTCCCGCTTCTGGCCGCCTCCTGGGCTCTCTGTCCGGCGCCGGCGGGGGCAGGGTGTGTGGACGAAGGCTGGCAGGAGGCCCCCGGCCCAGACGTCTTCCACCCCTCCCTCGAGCTGCTCGTCTATGCGCAGCAGTGTGTCCACACCCCGCACGGGCCCCCAGCTGGGCCAGCACCCCTTCAACACGCCGACTGCGCCTGGGCGCCCGGGAGGAACTGCCCTCCGCGGGGCCCAAACACTGTGATCCTGCTGCAGCCTCGGCCAGAGGCCCAGACCCCCTGAGTGGGCGGAGGAAGGGCTGACCGCGTGTGCCAGGGTATGCCAGCCTGCGCACACGTGTACCTGCCGTCCTGCTGGGGTGCCAGCCGCTCTGGGGGCCTCCGGGAGCGGCTTGTTCCTGGGGCACGTCCAAGCTTTGGGTTTCCTCTCCGTGTCAGGTGACCCAGGGGCAGTCCCCAGCGAGGAGCAGCAACCGCCTGACCAGGAGAGGGGAGCCCTGGGGGGCGGGGGGGCACATTCTGTGGAGCAGGTGTGAAGTTGGCAGCAGCTGAGGTCCTGCTGGGTGAGATGGAAAGCAGGGAGGAGGGCGGGTGGGAGGACGAGGAGTGTTGGTGGTGGGGAAGCTGAGGACGGGGGTGGGGCGGGCCCAAGGAGCTGCCTCCCGGGGGCGCTCGGATGGTGGGCCGGCAGAGGCCGCCGTGGTGCTTGGTCGTTGCCTGGAGCCTTCATCCGCTCTTCCTTCTTGGCACTCGGAGCCACTGACGATCCGGGGGCCTTTGCTGGGTGCCCCTTCCCTGACCGTGGCCAGGCTTGGCTGCCCCTTCCCGCCCTTCTTGGGAAAGGGCCGGGCCGAGAGGCGGGTGGTGGGTGGGTGGTGAGCCCCAAGCCCCCCGCAGGCCGGAAGCCCTGAGCTCCAGCTCTGGCTCCTCGGCTTGCTTCCCACCGTTGGCCCACCTGGAAGGAGGAGGTGGCGTGCGGGGAGGGCAGAGGGCCCCAAGGGCTGCAGACGGGAAAAGCGTCCCCCTGTCGGGGAGGCACGGCCTCGGGGACGTCTGGGTCCCTTCAGAGCCAGGCGGGCGTGGAGAGAAGCTGTCCGCACCATAGCCATGGTAGGTAATCCACATTGGATATCAGTAAGGACCACGGGGATATTTAAGAGAGAAGAGTATATATATATATAAAAATTATATACACATTTTATCGTACAGATTTTCGTACCTTTTCTTCCTGTTTGATACTGTAAATCTCTATAGAGCAGAGCTCCCTGGTAGTGCGGGTTGGGGGAGACCCCCTCCCACGCCTGGCCTCTCAAGTCGGCCGCCCACCGCCCAGTGCCGCCCTCGGGCCTCCGCCCGCTCCCAGGACCAGGCCTGGGAGACCCGTGTGCCCCCTCCTCCTTTCAGAGCGTTGGAGTTTCATTGTCACAGTTTTAATATATGGGTTTTTTTTTTAATTTAAGAAGACATCCCCGTCCCCCTGCTCCCGGGCGACAGGGCCCTGCGCGTCAGCTCCACACCCGTCTCCCACACCTCCGGCCACTCAGCAGTTTCATTTCAATATTTATTTTTGTGCTGCTTTTATCATGATATAAATTATTGAGAAGAGACCCTCTGTCGTGGCCCCGAGGTGCGAAGCGGCGCGCCCGGCCGGCCACACCTAATTTATTGCTGTGCATCTCTGCTGTGGCGCTTTTGTACCTTTCAATAAAGAGTTTTCTGGTTTCACGTCGTCGAACTGCCCGAGCGGGCTGTGGGCGCGCTGCGCGTGCCCCACATCGCCGTGACCACGCCCTCAGGGCCGGGCTGCGTGGGGCGGGCTCCCCAGGACCACCCTGCCCTGACCGGGAGGCCCTGACCGAGAGACCCCGTCGCAGACGCCCGCGCAGCTGTCTTGGCTGGGGCTCTAGTGGGCCCACAGGAGGCGGCAGGGCTGGCGTCTGCCTGGGGTGAGGGGGAAGGCAAAGAGGCAGGCTACCCTGAAAGCCAGTGCCGGGGCCCAGACAGCCTGGGCCTGCTGGGGTGGGGTGCCCATCATCCTCAGATGCTGCCCTCTCCGCGTCCCCACGGACCCGCGGAGGGACAGGCAGGTCAGCACTCGGCCTCTGGAGAGAGTCAGGCTTGCAGGGGAGCTGCTTATCGGCGTTTCTGACCACTGGCGTCAGCTTCTGGCCGCCTCCTGGGCTCTCTGTCCGGCGCCGGCGGGGGCAGGGTGTGTGGACGAAGGCTGGCAGGAGGCCCCCGGCCCAGACGTCTTCCACCCCTCCCTCGAGCTGCTCGTCTATGCGCAGCAGTGTGTCCACACCCCGCACGGGCCCCCAGCTGGGCCAGCACCCCTTCAACACGCCGACTGCGCCTGGGCGCCCGGGAGGAACTGCCCTCCGCGGGGCCCAAACACTGTGATCCTGCTGCAGCCTCGGCCAGAGGCCCAGACCCCCTGAGTGGGCGGAGGAAGGGCTGACCGCGTGTGCCAGGGTATGCCAGCCTGCGCACACGTGTACCTGCCGTCCTGCTGGGGTGCCAGCCGCTCTGGGGGCCTCCGGGAGCGGCTTGTTCCTGGGGCACGTCCAAGCTTTGGGTTTCCTCTCCGTGTCAGGTGACCCAGGGGCAGTCCCCAGCGAGGAGCAGCAACCGCCTGACCAGGAGAGGGGAGCCCTGGGGGGCGGGGGGGCACATTCTGTGGAGCAGGTGTGAAGTTGGCAGCAGCTGAGGTCCTGCTGGGTGAGATGGAAAGCAGGGAGGAGGGCGGGTGGGAGGACGAGGAGTGTTGGTGGTGGGGAAGCTGAGGACGGGGGTGGGGCGGGCCCAAGGAGCTGCCTCCCGGGGGCGCTCGGATGGTGGGCCGGCAGAGGCCGCCGTGGTGCTTGGTCGTTGCCTGGAGCCTTCATCTGCTCTTCCTTCTTGGCACTCGGAGCCACTGACGATCCGGGGGCCTTTGCTGGGTGCCCCTTCCCTGACCGTGGCCAGGCTTGGCTGCCCCTTCCCGCCCTTCTTGGGAAAGGGCCGGGCCGAGAGGCGGGTGGTGGGTGGGTGGTGAGCCCCAAGCCCCCCGCAGGCCGGAAGCCCTGAGCTCCAGCTCTGGCTCCTCGGCTTGCTTCCCACCGTTGGCCCACCTGGAAGGAGGAGGTGGCGTGCGGGGAGGGCAGAGGGCCCCAAGGGCTGCAGACGGGAAAAGCGTCCCCCTGTCGGGGAGGCACGGCCTCGGGGACGTCTGGGTCCCTTCAGAGCCAGGCGGGCGTGGAGAGAAGCTGTCCGCACCATAGCCATGGTAGGTAATCCACATTGGATATCAGTAAGGACCACGGGGATATTTAAGAGAGAAGAGTATATATATATATAAAAATTATATACACATTTTATCGTACAGATTTTCGTACCTTTTCTTCCTGTTTGATACTGTAAATCTCTATAGAGCAGAGCTCCCTGGTAGTGCGGGTTGGGGGAGACCCCCTCCCACGCCTGGCCTCTTAAGTTGGCCGCCCACCGCCCAGTGCCGCCCTCGGGCCTCCGCCCGCTCCCAGGACCAGGCCTGGGAGACCCGTGTGCCCCCTCCTCCTTTCAGAGCGTTGGAGTTTCATTGTCACAGTTTTAATATATGGGTTTTTTTTTTAATTTAAGAAGACATCCCCGTCCCCCTGCTCCCGGGCGACAGGGCCCTGCGCGTCAGCTCCACACCCGTCTCCCACACCTCCGGCCACTCAGCAGTTTCATTTCAATATTTATTTTTGTGCTGCTTTTATCATGATATAAATTATTGAGAAGAGACCCTCTGTCGTGGCCCCGAGGTGCGAAGCGGCGCGCCCGGCCGGCCACACCTAATTTATTGCTGTGCATCTCTGCTGTGGCGCTTTTGTACCTTTCAATAAAGAGTTTTCTGGTTTCACGTCGTCGAACTGCCCGAGCGGGCTGTGGGCGCGCTGCGCGTGCCCCACATCGCCGTGACCACGCCCTCAGGGCCGGGCTGCGTGGGGCGGGCTCCCCAGGACCACCCTGCCCTGACCGGGAGGCCCTGACCGAGAGACCCCGTCGCAGACGCCCGCGCAGCTGTCTTGGCTGGGGCTCTAGTGGGCCCACAGGAGGCGGCAGGGCTGGCGTCTGCCTGGGGTGAGGGGGAAGGCAAAGAGGCAGGCTACCCTGAAAGCCAGTGCCGGGGCCCAGCCAGCCTGGGCCTGCTGGGGTGGGGTGCCCATCATCCTCAGATGCTGCCCCCTCCGCGTCCCCATGGACCCGCGGAGGGACAGGCAGGTCAGCACTCGGCCTCTGGAGAGAGTCAGGCTTGCAGGGGAGCTGCTTATCGGCGTTTCTGACCACTGGCGTCCCTCCCGCCCACCCCTGCCTGAGCTGACCCGGGCGGCACCTGGTAACCTAGGGACTCTGCTTCAGCGCCAGCCGCCGCTCTGCACGAGTCCACGCCCGGCCTCCCCGTGGCCTCCGCCGGCTCCTTCCCGCACGCACCCTGAGTGCCCTTCCGTGGAGTCAGGTCTGGGTACAGGTGCACTCAGCTCCCCACGGCCTTCTCAGCGAGGCTGGACCCCCGCCCCGGCCTGCTGCTTCTCAGCACCCGCAGGACGGGCCCGGAGACCAGGGCAGGCAGCAGCCACGGGTGTGGGCAGGGGAGGCATGGAGCCAGGCATCCTCTCCCTCTGTCAGGTCAGGAGGGCCTGGCCACAGGCAGAGGGGCTGCGGGGCAGAACCGGGGTGAGCCGCCCTCCTGCTTCCCGGCTCTGTGACCTCAGGCAAGTGGCTCAACCTCCCCAAGCCTTCGTGAGCAGTGTGTGTGTGTGTGTGAGACAGCGGGAGTGTGTGTGTGTGTGTGAGTGTGACACACAGCCGGTGCTCCCGAGTGCCCCTGCCGCCAGGACCCCACCACCCTCGGGGGCTCCAGGAGGAGGCCTGGCCCACGGGCTCCCCCGGTGCATAGCTTCGGGCGACTCTAGTCGCAAGGAGGTCCCTGCGGACAAGGGCCTCCAGGCTGCCCTGCCCCCGGCTCGCCACAGAGCCTGGGCGCCAGGCCCCTGTCCTACAGCCTCCAGAAAACCTCCCTCCTGGGCTGGCGGGTCTCTGGGGAGCACTGTGGCTGCTCCCAGAGCAGCTGACAGACGAGGGGCCTCCCCGAGCTGGGTCTGACAGCCGCAGAGGGCGATAAGGCAGGTGGGGACTTCCCAGGGGGCGGCAGGGAGGAGGCCGGCCTATCTTATCAGGCAGGCGGGCTGGGCCCTGGGAGAGGCCGCTGGCCTTGAGCCCCACGTCCCCAGGCCCAGGGGTGACCCGTTCTGGCCCGTTCACTGCAGGCCGTTCCTGCCTGGCTGAGCCTCTCCGAGCCCCTCTGCCATTCCCTTTCTCCCTGGTGACGTGGGAGCCAGCGACCGGGAGGCGTGGGGGTGTCGCGGCTGGGTGGTGCCCGGGCCTTCCTGCCCACCCAGCCGCGCCACAGGCCCCCGCCCTGCTCCTTCCCCCAGACACACTGGACCGACTCAGCCTCCCGGCTGTCTGCCGCCCCTCCCCTGCCCTGCTGACCCCTGACGCCTGGGGCCCACCCTCACTTGCCCTGCTTCTGTTCCCCCTCCCAGGTCCCAGGCCTTCCCCACGCGCCAGCCTGGCACGGTAAGGGGAGAGGCCAAGGAGGCGGTTCCAGGGACCAGTCCCCTCCTTGGCCTCTGGGTTCTGCACACCCAGCCTCATGAACCCATCCCAGGCAGGGAGGCACGGGGCCTCGAACCAGGAGAGCGGAGGCTCTGGATATCAGGGCCCGCGAGGGGCAGGCCACCCCATCTCAGGTCCAAGCCCCTCACCCACCTGCTTGGAGCTGTGACCGTGGCCGGCCGCCCCATGGTGGACGAGACCCTCCCCACAGCACCCAGACTGTCCCCCCCACCCCGCTATCTGTCCGTCAGAGTGCTGACCCTGCAGGGACACAGGCTGCTGGAGGCACGAGAAAACTTGGCTGTTTATGTATAAATAAGTGCAGGTCACCAGGAGACCCCGTGCCCTCTGGGGTCCCTGCCCCTCCCCCAGGCCACGGCCAGCACACCCACCCCTCCGTGGGTCGCCCTGCCTCCCGCAGCCTGCATGGAGCCCCCCCACCTGTGCGGCCCGCAACTCGGGGCCGCCCACGTCCTTCCCCATCGCTGCCCCGCCTGGGGTCTGTCCATGCAGGGAGGCCGCCTGGGCTGACAGCCAGGGGAGCCTGGCAGCTCCCTGGGGCCATCTGGGGGGCACAAGTGCCCTCTTCTGGGGCTGCGGGCCCAGCAGCTGAGGGTGCGGCCCCTGGGCGCCTGGCAGGGCCACCAGGTGACCCACTCCACCGGCCGCAGGCGGGTGGGCAGGACGCTCCCGGGAGAGGCCTGACCTTTGGCAAGATGGTCAGTGGGCGGGGCGCCCTGTCCTTCCTGGGCGGCCACTGACCGCGGGCCCCCTACAGCTCCTCCGTGGGTATCAGCATCCTCTTCTCCACGTTGCGGCCCTTCCTGCCCCCACCGGGGCCGCCAGCCGGGCCGTGGGGGGGCGTGCGGGGCGATGGCGCTCTGCCCTGGGCCGGCCGGGGGGCCTCCTGCGTGGCCTGCTGCGTGTACTGCTGGTAGGCAGGTGAGAAGTTGTGGATGGCGTCCTGCACGATGTCCTGCGGGCTCATGGTCTCCTTGAGGCCACTGGAGATGCTCTGCATGGGCGCTGAGGGGGCTGGGGGCAGGTGGCGGGTGGGCTGGGTGCTCCCCGGGCACGCACCACCCCGCCCCTCATGCACCCGGCCCCCAGGACCCAGCTTCCTCCCTGCCAGCCTGCGGGCTGCCTAGGGCCGAGGCCTTTCGGCCAGCAGGGGGTGACTCCAGGACCCCTGAATCTCGGCCCAGCCCTGGGGCGCTCCCAGCCCAGACCCTTTGCCAGGGCCAATGGCGGGAGGCCGCCTTGGGTTGGCCCCCACCTTATCTCCACCTCCTCACCACTCCAGGCTGACCAGTCCAGGCCGAGGCCCATCCCTACCCACACGGGCCTTTCTCTAGGGGCGCCAGTGCCAGCCAGCCCCCTGACTGTCCTGCCAGGCCTTTCTGGGCACCTGGGAGTGCTGGCGGGTACCCCAGGCCCAGGGGGCAGCAGGGCCCTGGGCCCAAACGCCGGGTCCTGCCAGCTCACTCAGCTCATCCTGGCCCTGGTCTCTTCCCCTGGACCGTGAGCAGGTGAGGCTCCTGTCGGGGGCTCGGGCCCACCTTGGGGCCGTCTCCCTGCCCACCAGGGTGAGATGGGGAACACAGGCATGGTTCAGGGGGCTGCTCGGGCCCCCCTCAGCACCCCTGCCCTCAAGACGGTCCAGGGGCTCCACACCCTGGGGCTGCGGGTCCTGCATACCTGGAGAGTGCTCTTTCTTCTCCGAGTACACCTGGCAGGTGAAGGCGTAGCGCAGGGCGATGGAAGCAAAGAGCATCTCGATGCAGATGATGAAGTTCTGGTACCCGGCGGCCACCGTGCCGGCCCCCACTGTGTTCCCGTCGATGACCTGGACCTCGGGGATGACCCCACACCTCTCCAGGATGGCCAGCAGCAGCCCTGGGGTGGTGCCGGCCGCTCAGTCAGTTGCGCCGGACAGGAGGCTAGACAGGAGCTGACCCCAGCCAAGACCAACCCCCTGCCGAGGCTGCGTGAGCTTGGGGGGGTCTGCAGGGTCTGAGCTCAGTTCAGGGGGACTGGGCACCTCCGTGCGGGGTCCTTGGCACAGCGGGCATCAAGAATCCCCCGAGGGCCTGTCTTGTTCTCCCCCGGCCCCAGCTGCTCATTGTCCTCTGAGAAGTGGGGGCCAGGAGTGCCCAGGGGCTGGTGGGCGCAGGGCTCCTGCACCCCTCTGGGCGTCCTGTCTCCCCACATCAGGCCCCACCTGCCGGGGGGTCCTCGCTGTCTCCCCTGCTAAGAGGGCCGCCCACTGACCGCGGCTGCAGCTGAGGGTGGGGCTGGGCCTGAGGGCACCCGGGGCCGTGTCCACCCACCCTGCCAGAAAGAGAGGAAGATGACAGCCTTGATGGTGAGGAACTTGAGGACGGGCTCGAAAGGTCGCAGCAGCTCGCTGGTGCCAGAGTAGAAGAGGAACAGGGCGTAGAGCGCCAGGCTGACTGAGGCGTTGTAGACGAGGGTGACATACAGGTAGCCGCTGCGGACGCTGGGGGCCAGGGCGGGAGCCCGTCAGGGCGGCCACGGCCCTGTGCCCGCCCCGCCCCGCCTGCTGCGCCAGTGGCCTGAGCCCCCAGCCTGGGCACCGCAGAGACTCAGACCCAGGCCCCCCTCCAGGGCCGCACGGGGCACCCAGGTGGGGTGGCTGAGGAGCTGGGGGCGCTGGCCTCCAGATCCTGTCCCCTCCAGGCAGGGGCCCCGCTGCCCCTCTCCAGCCTCCTGTCACGGGCACAGCCCTGCGCAAGGCAGACCCACGTCGTATGCGGGCGTTGCTGTGCATGTGACCGTGTGCGCATGCACATGTGTGCACACGCATGCACGCGTGAGCCTTATGTGTGCACTCCCCTGTGTGAGTGTGTGTCTGAACCCATGCATGTGTGTGAGACGTGCCTGTGGGCCTGGCCCAGGGGGCAAATGCAAGGGCGGAGCTTGGCTCCCCGCTGCCCTCAAATCCATCCTCACTGTCTGGGGGCTGTGCTGTCGGGGCTGTGAAGCCCTGGGGTTCCCAGGGCCCACCTGTGACAAGGGTCTGTTTGCCACAGCCTTGCCCCCGGCCCTTCTCCCTGCGCTGAGCCCTACCTCCTGCCCCTGCCCCCCAAGGGTGCCCCCCACCCCACCCGCATGCCAGCCGGGCCTTACTTGAAGTCCCCGTCGTGGTATTTGCCGAATGCCTGCAGGACGATGGTGACCAAGGCCATGATGGGCTTCACAATGCAGAACTGCAGCGTGGCCTGGGGGTCGGGGAGGGGCTGAGGATGGTGGCTGGGGGCCGCTGGTGAGGAGCCAGCCCAGCATGCTGGGCGCAGAGGGGCCATGGGGGACTGGCCGGGGGGGCCCAGGCACTCACCTGCTTGCAGAAGCGCAGAAAGCCGATGGAGTGGGTCATGCCCCGAAGGCAGCAGGTGCTGTGCAAGCAGCTGGCCCTGGGGTGCAGGAGTCCCTGAGGCGTGTCCCCGGAGGACACCCCCAGAGTGGCCTGGCTGCCCACCGGGGTGTGGGGCACCCACGGGCTCTGGGCAGATGCTTACCGGATGGGCTTTCCCCGGATCTCAGCCATGATGGCGCTCTCGCCCCCCAGGTACTGGAAGCAGAGGCTCAGGAAGCTGTAGATGACAAAGGCTGCTGGGCCGTGAGCCCGGGCCGCCCAGGCGTCCTGCGCGGCCCCACCCGGCGCACGCGGACCCAGCCCTCACGGGGCTGCAGCCCGCCCTGGGGCGCCCCCGGGGTGGGGGCGGTGGGGCCCACGGCAGTCCCCCGCCTCTGACGCCCCCACCCCGGTCCGCGACCCCTCCCAGGCTCCAGGCGGGCCCAGCTGCAGCCCCACCCCCACCTTGGGACCCCGGGAGTCTCCTTGGCGCCCTTGATCTGGCCATCCGGAGGGGCCCTCGCTAAGCCGGACTCAGACTGGCAGGGGCTGTGCAAGCCCCCGGGAGCCGCTCACTCGCTCCGCGGGCCCTGGAGAGCCGGCGGCACTCACCTTCGTAGCAATCCCGCACGGAGTCTAAGTAGACGTAGTGCTGCTGGGCCCCCAGGAGGAGGAGGCTGAGCCATGAGTCGAAGGCATAGACGGGGACGACCAGCAGCAGGCGGATGATGTACCGCTGCTCGTTGGGCACCGTGTAGGAGCGCAGGTGCAGGTAGATCTGGGCGGGCGGAGAGGGCAGGCCTGGGGCACGCTGCCTGCCCGCCCCTGGCCCCCCAGCCAGTGGGAGGAAGCAGAGCCGGCCTCCCCTGAGCAGACGCTGCGCACCGGGAATGTGCGTTCAGTCACGGGCTCGTCCATTCATTCATCTCAGGGGTGGGCATGTACACTGGCCTGGGAGCAGTGTGGTACTGCGACATGGGGTCGTTAGAACGGCTGATGCCTCTGACCCCTCCTAGGGACTTAGCCCACCGAACAGATTTATCCAGAAACAAAGACAGGATTCATGTTCAAAGACGTTCATCGTAGGGACACAGGAGACCGAGCCTGGTGGTGGGCCCGTGACTGTGATGCCAAGCAGAGGGCGACCCTTGGCCCCAGGCACCAGGCTGGGGAGCTGCTCCGAGAGAACAGGACAGGATGGCAAGCCAAGTAGGACCCAGGTGTGTGCCAGAGCCGGCAGAGATGACGGGGGAGACATCCCTGGACGAAAGGGACAGATGGGTGGTCCCCGTGATCGTCTGTGACCTTCCCACATCTTCCTTGTTTTCTATGAGGACATGAACAAGCAGTGGGGGGAAGAAGCACAGGGAGCCAGGCAGAGGGGTAGCTGGCCGTGGTCCCCAGCACCCCTGGGAGGCTTCCTGGAGGAAGCGCCACGAGGGAGGTGGAGGGGCAGGCAGGAGGCAGGCTGAGCGCAGAAGCCCAGCCTCTGGGGGCACAGCCCCGGGTGGCGCGGGCAGGCTGGCGTCAGTCAGGCTCCTTATCAGCCGCTCCCTCCCCAGCGGCTGCAGTGGGAAGGGCACGGCCTGACCAGCTATCGGGAGACAGACTCGGGCCCATGGGTAGGCGCTGCCTGCTGCGGGCCTCGGCAAGCTGCTGTCCTCTCGGGCCTCAATGCCCCGTCTTTAAAGTAAGGGCCGAGTCGCTCTCTGTCCCCCTGGGTGGAGAGTGAGGGACTCCCTGTCGGGGTGGGGGGAGGACGGGGTGGGGAAGTGCCGCCCATGGGGTCTCCGTCAGCCCTGCCCAGGCCGTGGGGCCCTGGGACACGGCTCCAGACACACACTCCCAGAATCACAGAAGGTCAGGGCTGGACTGAGGGCCAAGCCAAGGCCTAGACTGTGGCTGGAACTGGGACAGCCTGGACCCAGGACGCTGGGTGCCCATCCCCCACCCCGGTGCTCCTTGTCCCACAAAGCACAGCCGCCTGGGAACCTAAAGCCATGCTGCCACCAGGAAGAAGGCCTGGCTTCTGCATGATGCCAACGTACCACCCACCTGTCCTGTCTGCCATCCAGATGCCCTGGGACAGCTTGCTAAAACTCAGGGCAAATACTGCCTCCTCCGGGAAGGCCTCCTGGGTGGCCCCAAAAGGAAGGGGCCACCTCCTCCTGCCACTCTCAGCTGCGCCTGGCCCACCCTAATACGCTTGCCCTGTCCCCCTTACCACCTGCTTATCTGAGTCCACGCCTAGACATGCACCACCCTGGGGGCGACTCTCACTGGGGTGGGGGCATCGGCCCCCACGGCCCTGCCTCGAGGCCTCTGGCCACCTGCTGCCCTGCTAGCCAGTCTCCTGACTGCCCCTGCCCCAGGCTCACTCCGCCAGTGCAGCCCCTGCAAGGCCGCCAGCCAAGCCATCCCATGGGGCCACTCTGCCCTCGGTGCCCAGACCCAGCGTCCTCTGGCTCCCCAGCACCCCTGGCTGAAGGCCAAACTCCCGCACGTCCGGGGAGCCCTTCTTTCGGGGCCCCCAATGCCTCCAGCCCTCTCTCTGTCTGCTCATGCCTCTCTGGGCTGGTCCTGGGCTCCCGAGCCTCTCTGCTATCTGCGATGCCTGATACCCACTGCCCAGCGCTGCCCGCGAGCACCGCCTCTCACCCCCACCCCGGCCACTCCCTCACTCTCGCTGCCAGGCCCGGCGCGTCCACCTGGGGCGACCTGGCTCTCCAGCTTTGGGCCCCTCCAGCCACGCTCTGACCTGTGGCCTCTCCCAGCCTCAGTCTTCTCATCTGTGAAAGGGGACCCTGCCGCTGACCTCAGTGAACGGGCGCACAGGCTGACGAAGCGCCCCGGGGTGGGGGGGGCCGGGCGTTCGGCAGGAGTTCTTCCCACTGCTGGGCGGAGGCCGTCCGTCCTCCGGCCTGGCTCTCTGCGTCCCCTGACCCTCCCCCATGCGGCAAGCCCCAGGTGCTGCTCCTCCAGCCGGCCAGGCCTCCGGGTCTGCCCCAAGGCTGCAGGCCGAGCAGGCCTCCTGGGGCTGGGCTGCGGCTCCCAGGGCGCGGGTCCCCAGGGGGCTCTGAGGGGAGGCTCACCTGGTGGCCAGTGAGCACCAGGGCCGCCCACACGAAGACGCCCGAGACACCGCGGGCCAGCGGCGAGGTGAGGAAGAGGGGCCCGGCGCCCTGCGAGCCATTTCCCGCACGCTCCATCTGTGGCTCTGCAGGCCCGGCCGGCGGCGTCCACGCCAGGGGGTGGCCCAGGAGCCCGGGGGCGTCAGTCATCTGCAGAGGGAGGGAGGGCACACGGGACGTGGTGAGGGCAAAGGTGCACCGGGGGCGGGCGGCAGTGTGGGCGGGCGGGAGCGCCAGGCTGGGCGGCTGTGCTGGGCTCCTGGCAGCGGCCCTCCTGCAAGGGGGCCAGGTGACCCCTCCTGCCCACGCACCTGGGCTCCGCGCAGCCCTCTGTGTGCAGGGACACAACTCCGAGGCCCGGTCCCGAGGCACCCTCCTTCCCAGAGTCGGCCGCCCGGGTGCAGATGCCAGCCGCCCAGCCGTGACCTGGGGCGGTGCCCCTCTGGTGTCCTGGTTTTGCAGGGAGCCCGCGTCCAGGGGCCAAAGACATCTGAGGAAGTTGGGGAGCCTTTCTGGCCCTGCCTGCCAGGGGTGGGGTCTGGGAAGCAGGCCAGACTGGCCCTGCCCTCAGCAGCAGACAGGGTGGCGGGGTACCCCCCACCCAGCCTGCCTGCCTGATCTTCTGGCGTCCTGCTTGGCCGGGGCCCCTGGCCACCCCAGGACTGCTCGCCTGTCCTGGGTGCCCGCTCTGCAGTCTCTTGTGACCTGCTGGGGCGCCAGGCACCTCCCTGCTTTCGCACTCGAGGCTGCCACCCCTCCCTGCAGCCCTGGTCACGGGGCCCAGCACCTACCTCTCGGGCAGGAAGCTCCCGGGCCAGTGCTGGGTGGCCAGGCCTCCAGGGAAGCCAGGCTGGTCGTTTGCGTGGCCAGTGAGCCCGGCGGGTGGCCCCAGTGGGGGTGGGACCGGACTACCTTCGGGAGGCCCGGGGAGGGGCAGCCACCTGCACGCACAGCCCCGTGGCCCCCCAGACTCGGGCGGAGGGCGGGCCGGCAGAGGGCGGCGCGGAGGGCGGGCCCCTCCCCTGACGCTCTATCCCTCCCCCGGCTGTTTGCTCCAGGTGGCTGGCTCCCGGGACTGCCCTCTCCTGCCTGCACCAGAAGGCCAGGCTGGCAGGGGCCTGACACAGGGGGCGGGTCTGCGGCGGGCCAGGGTGGGCTAAGCCCCTGTGGGTATGGGCTTCCCGTCAGGCTGATGGGGTTCTCCGAGGATACAGAGGGGGCATAGCATGACGTGGAGGGATTAAATGCCCCTTCAAAGGGGTAAATCTATCATCGGGTCCCCATCCCCAAAAGTCCACTGGAAACGTTCCTGTGTTTGTTTGCTGGAGGAGGGGAGGAGGGACCAGGGTGAGTGAGAAAGCCGGGCTGGGCCTGCGGGGTCAGCCCTGGGCAGGGGTCAGTGGAGGGGGTGGGCACCCGCCCGGCCTCGGAGGGGGTGGCGGGGCGCCTCGGCGGGCGTCAGCGTGGGTGCCTGCCCTCACAGTCTGTCCTTGGTGACGCCCAGCCTCCCCCAGGCCCTGGGTCAAGGGGTCAGGCTCCTTCCAGAGGTGGGAGTCTTTGGGGGACGTGACCGGGGTCCCCAGGGGCATCGGGGGCCTGGGGAGAGGCCGGCAGCCCTTGCGCCTGCACCCGTCCACCCACACGGTCGCCCCAGGGAGCCCCTAGACACGCCCTGAGGTCCTGGTCCTGACGCAGGGAAAGCCCTGGCCCGCCCCTCCCCCAGGCCTCCTGCAGGCCGCCTCGTCCTGCGTCCCGAATGTCACCTCCTCTCCCGTCACCCCCTTCAATTCCACAGGCGTCAGGATCCCTGTGCCCTGCCCAGCCCGTGCCCGGGCCGTGGGGAGCCAGCACCCTGCCCGTGGGCTCCCACACCGCTGCGGCCTGTGGCTTTTCCCGCCGCCGCGAGTTCCCGCGGGCCCCCAGCCCCACCGGCCCCCGGCGCAGTGGCCGCCCGTTATAAGCCTGGGCGCCCGCCCGTCCTGCGGCTTCCTGATCAGGTCACCCCAGCAGCCGCCTCGGCCCTGCCCCCTGCCAGGATCCCAGCCTCCTCAGAGACCTCTTCACCTCGCCGCCTCTGCTTTCTCGTCTGCAAAGGTGAGTCTGGGCTCTGCCAGCCCTTCCCTGGGGTGCTGTGTGCAGACTGCAGTCCCTGCCCCACCCAATCCCTCCTTGAGCCTCAGACCCCAGACGCAGACCCCAGACCGCAGAGCAGGGCCATGTGCCTGGCACGGCAGCCAGGGGCCCTGGGTTGGGGGGGGGGGTCAGGCGTGGCTTCTCCAGTTTAGAGGGAAGGGCCAACTGTGCCAAGCCCGCGCATGACTGGCGAAGGGTCCCGGCTCTAGGGAGGCGAGGGCTTCAGCACCCTGGTCCTGGGGAGGGCCAGGGTGAGGCCAACCCTTCGGCCACCATGGGACTCTCCAGCCAAAGAAGGCCCTACTGCTGTCGCAGCCACGCTTCCCTGGGAGAGGTGGCCGGTCCGGCTGGGCCTGCTTGCCTGCCCGTGGCTGGACACTGACCAAGCCCGTCTCGGGACAAACCTGCCCGTCCAGAGGCTGAGGCCCCTGACTGCGGGTCACCTGACAGGTGACAGGGCCCCAGGTGGCTCCTGGCCGGGCTGCGGGAGGCTGAGATGCCGCGGCCCATCACAGACCTCAGCGCCCTCGTCCTGACGCCTGTCTCTCACCTCAGTGACCTGATGCCCGGGGCTCTTGACCTGCGTAGGGCACCAAACCACCCTCCAGGCGTCCCTGCCGAGCCAGCCCCTTTCTAGGCCTCCCTGCCGCCTGGGGACATCTCTGGGGGCACGCGGCAGGCAGACTCTCCCCTCCCGCCCTCCTTGCAGGCAGGCCCTTCCCCTGCTGAGAGCCACCCACCCTGAGCTGGCCTGCCAGGGTCCTTTGATGCTCCCCGGGCCCTTGCTGACGGTGCCCATGGGCGGCAAACGGACTCACTCGTGGGCTATGGCTGCTGCCCGCAGAACGCCCACCGACTCAGCCAACGCCTGCACGGCCTGGGCCGGGAGCCTGGTCAGGCCCCCAGGGCGCCTCTGATGCTCCCCGGGCCCTTGCTGACGGTGCCCATGGGCGGCAAACGGACTCACTCGTGGGCTGTGGCTGCTGCCCGCAGAACGCCCACCGACTCAGCCAACGCCTGCACGGCCTGGGCCGGGAGCCTGGTCAGGCCCCCAGGGCGCCTCTGCAGCCTGCGGGGGGTGAGGCCCGGCCTGGCCGCCCACCAGCCTGGGGACCCCGAGCCCCTCCTCCACTCCCCCTGGGCCTCAGCGGGGCGGGGGCTGAGGGTCCTTCCAGCTCCAGTTTTGGGGCAGTTTTGGAAGCGTGGCCTCCCCCTGTCCAAGGTGCTGGCTCCTTGCCTGGGCGGGGCCCTGGGCCTGAAGCCGGGGGTGCAGGGCGCCAGTCAGAGGCAGGCCCGGGACCTGCGGGTCCCTCCCTGCGTCTGTGGCCTCGGCCGACTGTGGCCTCTCCCGGCCCTGGTTTCCGCGGGTGACGGATGGCTGTGTGCGGCAGGGCAGCCCTGGTGAGCGCGGGATTCGGGAGGCTCTGCCGGCTCCTCCTAAAGGCGGCCTCGGCTGCCGCCACTGGAGGCTGGGCGTGGGGTCCCGCCAGCGAGTGCACGTGGGTGGCCTTCTGCTGCCCGGTCACCAAGCCAACCAGGCCTGCCCCGCGGCCGCGCGGGCACCCACATGGGGCCATCTCCTTGCATCCCGCCCTCTTTCCTGCCTGTGCCCAGGCCTGCTGCCCCGGTCCCCGGGAGAGCCTGTGCCTGCCGGGGTCCTGTCTGTACCTGCCCGTTGCCCCAGAGCAGACTGCCAGCCCTGGCTGCCTGCCTGGGGGGGGCACTCTTCCCGGTGGCGCTGGGGCAGGGGTGCTGACCTGGGCCTGGCCAGAGGCCCTTTTTGGTCACCTGGTGGCACCCGGGGGCCTGGCAGGGGGCATAGCCTCAGGGGTGGGGACGGGCTGGGGATGGAGCTGCTGTGGAGCTCAGAATCTCAGGGTGTGGGCATTTCTCTCCAGGGGTGCGCAGGGCCCAGCCTGGACACCTCTGTCTCCTGGGTGTGCCGGTGCGCGCGCGCACACACAGCCCGGGACCTGCGGGTCCCTCCCTGCGTCTGTGGCCTCGGCCGACTGTGGCCTCTCCCGGCCCTGGTTTCCGCGGGTGACGGATGGCTGTGTGCAGCAGGGCAGCCCTGGTGAGCGCGGGATTCGGGAGGCTCTGCCGGCTCCTCCTAAAGGCGGCCTCGGCTGCCGCCACTGGAGGCTGGGCGTGGGGTCCCGCCAGCGAGTGCACGTGGGTGGCCTTCTGCTGCCCGGTCACCAAGCCAACCAGGCCTGCCCCGCGGCCGCGCGGGCACCCACATGGGGCCATCTCCTTGCATCCCGCCCTCTTTCCTGCCTGTGCCCAGGCCTGCTGCCCCAGTCCCCGGGAGAGCCTGTGCCTGCCAGGGGCCTGTCTGTACCTGCCCGTTGCCCCAGAGCAGACTGCCAGCCCTGGCTGCCTGCCTGGGGGGGGCACTCTTCCCGGTGGCGCTGGGGCAGGGGTGCTGACCTGGGCCTGGCCTGAGGCCCTTTTTGGTCACCTGGTGGCACCCGGGGGCCTGGCAGGGGGCATAGCCTCAGGGGTGGGGACGGGCTGGGGATGGAGCTGCTGTGGAGCTCAGAATCTCAGGGTGTGGGCATTTCTCTCCAGGGGTGCGCAGGGCCCAGCCTGGACACCTCTGTCTCCTGGGTGTGCCGGTGCGCGCGCGCGCGCACACACACACACACACACACACACACACAGAGCTCACCTCCCTGGTAACGCCCTCAGCTGTCCGGCCGGGCCCGAGGCAGGTCTGACGCAGGCCTCCGGGCCCAAGGGGATGGCTGAGCTGTCCGGAACCACCGCCAGACCTCCAGGCCTCTGCCGTGCCTCCTCCCGGCCGCCTGGGTCAGTCCGATAGGCCTGCTGCTGGGAAGTGCTGGCCTTGCCCCGGACCCAGCAGACGCCTCCCTGCCACCCGCCCCAGCCACCCTGCCAGGCCGGCCCTACCTGCCCGGGTAGCCCGGCCACGCCCTCCACTGTGCCCTGCCCAGGGTCGGGGCCGGCCATCCTTCCCACCCACCACCCACCTGCCTATCGCGTCTCCGACCCCAGGGTGTGGTCCTGCTGGACCAGGGATGGCTGTGGCTCTGGTTCCTGCGTCTGCCCAGCCCGTCTGTGTGGCCGGGGGTCTGAGGCCCACTTCACGTGCGGCGAGGGTTGAGTGGGGTGACGTGGTGTCTGCCACACCCAGAGCACCCCGACCCAGCCCTGCTCCTTTCACGCTGTTCCATCTTCCTGTCTTCTGTCCCTTCTGCCCTCAACTGCCCCACATCAGGGAGCCGCGCCTCCCAGGGCTCCGGCACCTCCCGCGTCTCGCAGTCCATGCGCAATGTACCATCCTGACGTCCCTGGTCCCCACAGGAGGCCGGGCCTGCCCCCTGCTCTGCTTCTGTGACTGTGGGAGCCGATGGCGCGGTCACCGTCCACGTCACTCAGCCACCTCTGAGCTCACGGATCCAGCCATCACCTTCGTCCCCTGCCCAGCGCCCCCTCCTGATTTCTGGTTTCGCTCCAAGGTGCTAAACAAAACAGCCAACACCAGCTTATCCAGCTGAGCCCGCAGCCGCTGCCTCACTCCACGGGTTGCCCGTCATAATTGGTTCAGGTGGATCCACGGCTCCGTCAAACCCCAGACAAGCTGCTTGGATGGATAACCTAGGGCAGCCACCCTCCTGGCCTCTCTTGACTGCCAAGGGACCCACTCGGCCTTGACTCTGAGCCAGAGCTGCAAGCCTGTGTCCACTTAGGAAAAGGCGGCGAGCAGGAGGGGAACGTGGGCTTCTCTGCTTGCAACTCAGCAGCAGGAGTGTCCACCCCACACTGCATGTCCATCCCACACCACACCGCGTGTCCACCCCACACTGCATTAGTCCAAGGGCATGGCCTTGAACAAGGGCACTTCCTGCGCCTGTCGGTGTTGCAGGGGCTGGCACATCGGCCCCACGTGCGTTATTCACATTCAGCCATAAATTGCTGGGAGTTGTAATTACAGTTTGAATGCTGGGTGAAGCACCATATGCAGCCTTTCCATCTAAAGGAATAACAATTTCCATGAAGCCAACAGCCCTGCCTGCGGAAAGCCCGGCTTTATGGATCTCTTTATTGGAGCATGTATCTCTCCTCCTGAATTATAGCAGCTGTGAGCAGAGCACCGCGGAAAGCAAGGGCCAAGCGCCTTCTCACGAGCCGCTCATCTTGATTTACAAGGCAGAGCAGAGCAGCGAGGTGCTGGCTTCAGTGATGGAAGTCTTTGCTCTCGATAGCCACCAAACAGCTTCGGGCAGCTGTACGTACCACTCCGGACAGTGCTGGGGACCCTGCTTTCAGTCATACGTCAGCCATCCCCCAACATTCCAGGCAGGCAGCCATGGGACAGCACAGATAACAGAGGCTCAAGTGTATTTGTATCCTGGGGCCAGTCCCCTGCAGGTCTGAGCAACTCGCCTGGTCCTGCTGAGCCTCCATTTCCTCCACTGTCCACCTGCCTCTCAATAACAGTCACGAGGGCTCGGTCAGACAGCGGGGGCGCCGCCAGGGCCTGGTGCGCAGGACGCCTCCGGACGAGGCCGCACCAGAGCTCTGCATGCAGAGCAGGGAGGGACATCCGCCTGCAGTGTCGATGAGGATGGCCTGTCCCTCAGAACGGGGACCAAGGAGTGTCAGCAAGGGGCTGGGGCCGGGTAAACAGTGTGGAAAAGTGAAACTGGCTAAGTCACGTCCAACTCTGCAGCCCCATGGACTGTAGCCCGCCAGGCTCCTCTGTCCATGGAATTCTCCAGGCAAGAATCCTGGAGTGGGCAGCTTTTCCCTTCTCCAGGGGATCTTCCCGACCCAGCGATCAAACTCCTGTCTCCTGCACTGCAGGTGGATTCTTTATCAGCTGAGCTGCCAGGGAAGACGGTGTGGCCCATCCAAGGAGTGTTGGTGAGGGGCCTGGGGCCGGGTGACTAATGTGGCCTCAGGGCCCTCCGCTTGCTTCAAACCCCAGCCCTGCCGCTTGGTGGCAGCGTGCCCCCGATTCAACTGCAGTGTAGGTGAGAGGAGTGACCTTGTGGGGTGGGCAGGAGGATTAAACGTGTTAACAGGATTGAAGGGTGAGCCCAGAGCTCACCAACGGGCAGCATGAGCTGGACGTCTCATACATTTAGGGGCCGACAGAAAACCAAAGCTGCAAATCTGGAGTTAGCCCCAGGCTGGAGCCTGACCCGAGGTTTAGGTTCCCAGCTGCTCAAGCGGGAGAAGCATGTTTCATCCGCTTGCTTCAAACCCCAGCCCTGCCGCTTGGTGGCAGCGTGCCCCCGATTCAACTGCAGTGTAGGTGAGAGGAGTGACCTTGTGGGGTGGGCGGGAGGATTAAACGTGTTAACAGGATTGAAGGGTGAGCCCAGAGCTCACCAACGGGCAGCATGAGCTGGACGTCTCATACATTTAGGGGCCGAGTCAGAAAACCAAAGCTGCAAATCTGGAGTTAGCCCCAGGCTGGAGCCTGACCCGAGGTTTAGGTTCCCAGCTGCTCAAGCGGGAGAAGCGTGTTTCCAGACTCGTCTGATGCTTAGATGACAAGCACGCTGATTATAGGCTGATACAGATTGAGGTGGCTCCGTGCACCCAGCCAGGCGCCGGTTCTGCAGGATTCCCACCCCCCACCCCCCAATCATTCCCAGGTCCTGCCATGCTCCCAACACATCTCTCCTCCAGTATCTGTGTCCCCATAGCTGCCGGGACCTGGGTTGCCCCTCGGGTCCGCACACATGGGTGGACAGGCCTTTCCCTTCTCTGGTTGGTCAGCTGCTTTCTGGCCTTTAAAGCATTCGCGCAGGCCCCCCAAGTGCGGACGCCAGGTGGGGTCTTCTCAGGAGAAAGGCTGGGGCTGAGAGCGAGCAACAGGGAGGCGGGACCCGGGGCCCCCAGCCAGATGTGGCCGCCAAAGAGCCCTGTGCCTCCAGGCGTGGATCTGCCTGTTTCCCTGGGTGGGGGCCTGGCTCCCAGGTCCCTCAAGCTCCCCACACAGGGGCATCTGCACCCGCTCTGGAAGCCTGGTGGACCCTCGTAGACTGCCCGGCCCTCCTGACACAGGTCACCGGGTCACTCCGCAGGTGTGTGCCTGCGGGCTTACCCGACAGTCCTGAGGGGCTGTGACGGTGTGTCCCCGGCATCTGCTGAGGGAACGAGCCTTTGAACACGGCTGTCCTGTCCCATGCTCAGCAACCTCACTGAACCCTTCTCAGGTTAGACCAGCATCGTGGTCTCGACATCACCGGTCCCAGTCTGCGCTTCTGCCTCCCGGCCATTCTCACAAGCACCTGCGCCAGTGGGGGATGCTCCTCTACCCCCCGCCTTTAAGCACACGGCTCTGGAGGCTAGCGGCCAGCCCACCGTGAGGATGTGAACGGCGTCTGGGCAACGGAAGGCTCAGAAAAGCCACAGGAAGAGGAGCAGGATGAGGAAAGGGCAGTCAGCTCCTGCAGCCATCTCACCATGTGAACCTCAGATCGAGCTTTTGCCAAATAGGTTTTCCTCCCCCTGGCCGTTCACTGCAGTAAACGTGTGCTGTGTCCCTGACATTTCTCAGCATTGTTAAGAATGGTAAGGTATTTGGGAATATGCATTTATTTTTAATTAAAAAAAAAATTTCCCCCAACATTTAACGGCCTTGACTCATTTCGTCAATTCTCACACAGGTACAACTGTCTGGACCTGGGGAGGAGGACTCACAACCTTCTCAGGACACGTTTCCTGTCCTCCCTCCACGGGGGACGTCAGCCTCCAAACCAAGGTCAGCCTGAGGAGTTTGTGCCTCTTCTAGCTTCAAGGGCCACAGCCAGAGAGCTCCTCCTCCTAACTCAAGGAGGATCTTCAGATCCTTGCGTCCCTCGGGACGGCAGGGGTGGCCGCTCCAGGTTCACCACACCTGGCACGTCTGGATCACCTCCTTCAGGGCCTTCACCACCTCCATGTTCTTGTCCTTCATGGCCAGGGCGAGGAGAACGGCTCTGTTTCCAGCTTCTTGAGACACAAATGCCACCAGGTTCTTTGCAAAGACATGGACGAGAGGCTGATAAAGGGCAAGAGGAGAAAACTGCTTTAACTGAAAGAAACCTTTTTCTTCTTAATGCCTTCTCCCAGTACCTCTCAGGAGCCCAGGCCAGCTTCCCACTCCATTAAATCATCAGCTGGCTAGTGGGGAACGACAGTGATTCAGACTTAACAAGACCCTCTGGACACTCAGTCATAAACACACTGCTTGGGAGCATCATTAAACGTGTTTCCTTAGTGCTTTCCGGCTCCTGCCTCTCCTGGTTATCTCTACTCTGGAAGGGCCGTGAGAGTCCCCAGAGAGAAAGCCTGTCAGACCTCACAGATGATCTTTCCAGAATGGGGCAGGACAGGCACTGATAACCATAGGTACTACGATGGGGTCACACTGCGGCACAGGCTTGCATTACAAAATCAATGCCTCTGCGTGTCTGACTGATAAAATGCTGATGAGTTGCACGTAGCAGGTGCACACCTTCAAATTATCTGGGAGGCCCGAACAATGCTGCCTTGGGCTGTGGTGGCGGGGGAAGACAGGCAGTGCGCTTGCCTACCAGATGCTCCACATTCTGACAAAGTATGGGCACTGGGAGCCCTTCCCAACCACATTACCTCATCCTTCCCGAGGAGGACTTTCGTGGTCAGCACAGGCTTGCCGATGTCACTAGTCACACTGCTGGGTTCCAGGGAGACCAGGGTACCCATCTTCCCCAACTGGGTCACCACTACCAGGATGTGACTGCTGAAGGCTGTGCAGACCACCTGAGTGGGGACTCCACACACCACTGCAGTCTTCTGTTTGGATGTCACCAATGGTTTACCCTCCATAGCTGAGTCTGCTCAACGGCACCTTTCATTATGTTAAGAAAAAACGAAAATAAGTAAATCGATCAATGGCAGACAGCCTGGGAGCTCCAGAATAAACACTATTTGGCATTAAAAGAGAAACACAAGTTGGCCCATTCAAAAGCCTGTGTCTGTTCGCCCACACAGGCTTTATTCCCCGGAACTTTCTGGATTCACTCAGACACACAGAGGTACACAGGCTGGATGTCAAAGTACGCTCCTCCTGTGGAGGCAGACGAGGGCTCGCCTTCCCCGCGCGGGGGCCCCACCCCGAGGGCCCTCCCCGAGTCCCGGCGGCCCGCCCTCGAAGGGGGAGTAGGCGCCGCAGGTTCGGAAACCCGGCAGAGCGGCAGGCCGCGCCTCCGCCGCCCCTCCGGCCCGCCCACTAATCGTTTTCTGCGTCTGGGGAAACCATCAGTCCCACAGAAGTAGCAACACCCCGACTAAAGTGCGAGGAAGAGGGCGGCGGGGGACCCCCCCGCCGGAAGTGCAGCCTGAGGGACTTCCGGTTCCGGCGGCAGCCTCGGGACTCTGCGTTGTGGGGTTCCGTGCTTCCGGGCAGGGAGGGTTGGGCGCCATGTTTGCGGAAAGAGGCTTCCCCACCACCCCGTGGGCCTCTGGCCCTTGGCCCTCAGGCGAAGGGCGTCTGACTTCTCCAGAAGTGCGTGCTCGCGCCCTCCTGAGGGAGACCCTGCAGCTCTGTGGTTGAGGAAGCTCAGAAACGGGGTTTCTGGCCCCTTGGCCATAGGCTCCAGGACCCTCAAGGAAGCACGGGGAGCTGAGAGAAAAGCAGGGCCGGCCGCCACTTTAAGCGCCGAAAACATTCCAGTCAGGACCGTTTTCCGTAGGGCGCAGGAGACCTCAGTGTGGGACCCTCCGGGTTCATCCCAAATGCCTGTTGACTGAAACAAAACACACGACCTAGAAGTCGGACGAAACTTGTCCAAAAGCTGGACAAAGCTGAATACTTAAGCCCAGGACGCAGCATCTCAGATAACTGAGGGACTGGCCCGAAGAGGTAAGGGAGGAGGCAGGGTATATAGGGGTTTTTGCAACAAAGATCAGGTAGTCCGAAATCAGCACATTGCGTAATAAAGGAAAACCAGGCATCTCTAGGAATTCAGCGCTTTCCGATGCGCTGTTAGCCTCCTGGGGCCAGCGCTTTCTCACCCCGAGTCCCCTCAGGGTGCACCTCGGGCGGCTGTGATGCGATGGCCTGTGCTTACTGGCACGTCAGGTGACATTTTTCATTTAGAACAACAGGAACCAGTGGGGATTTACAGCCAAGGTTCAGGATAGGGTCAGTGGGTGGAAAGTTACTGAGAGGAAGGGGTTGAGGGGTTTCTCGGCAGGAAAACCTAGCAGAATTCCTGCTGGAGGCAGGCCAGGGTGGCCTCAGACCACCTGGGGGACGGCGGGGTATGAGAAACTGGTTAGACATTGGCGGTTACCAGACATGCAGGATTGGGGGAGCAGTTCTTGCTAAGACTGGAAAATGCAGAGACATCACAGAAGTCCCGAAGTGAGTGCCTAGCTGGGAAAGAGTTGAGAGGGACTCCCTGGGGGTCCAGTGGGTAAGACTGTGCTCCCAGTGTAGGGCTCCATTCCTCGTCAGGGGCTAGGTCCCATATGCTGCAGCTAAGCCCAAGTGCTGCAAGGAAGACCCAGCGCAGCCAAAATTAAATAGAATGTGGAATAGAAGTTTTAAAAAAACAGTTCAGGGAGTACAGTCTGGTCTAGGAGAGAATCTTTGTCAGTATGCTCTGCCTGGTAGTAACAAAAGTCTTTTTTTTTTTTTTAAATCTTTTGGGGGCTTTCCGGGGGGCTTAGTGGTAAAGACCTGCCTGACAGTGTAGGAGACAGGTTCAGTTCGTGGTCTGGAAAGAGTCCACATCCTGAGGGGCAGCTCCGCCTGTGCACAACTTCTTAGCCTGGGCTCTGAAACCCACAAGGAGAGAAGCCGCCACAACGAGAAGCCCAGCACCACAGTAGAGTGTATCCTCCGCTCACCACAACTAGCGAGAAGCCCTCGCAGCAACGAAGACCCACACAGGAAAACACATATATTTGAAAGTCACTGAGTTTTTAGAAAACCTCTTTTGGCTGTACCACGTGGCATGTGGGATCTTAGTTCCCTGACCCGGGATGGAACCCACGTCTCCTGCATTGGAAGTGCGGAGTCTTAACCACTGGACCTCTAGGGAACTCCCTTAGGCCTTTGAACTCCTTTAGGTGGTAGCAGGAGCCTCTACCCTCAAAAGCCCTTATGGGCTAGGCTTCCACAGCCAAGGGAATGATAATAGCTGACATTTATTTGTCACTTAGTGTGTGCCAGAGTTGTGCCAAGTGCTTTCCTATAGTAACATGTTTAATCTTAACCCCACTAAATGGATACATTATCATCCCTGTTGTATAGACAGTATGTTCAGAACTTGCCCAAGATCACAAAGCTGATAAGGGCGGGATCTGGGCTTCCGAACTTTACCCTTGATTACTGGTCTCACGATGCACACGCCCAGGTGAAGGGCAAGAGCAGGGGCAGTGCTGTCCTGCAGCAGGATAATTTCTGGTCCCCCCAGGGGTCTGAGAGCACCCCGCCCCACCACCACCACGGCGCACATCTCTCTCTCTGAGCTGAAGTGGTGTTGGCAGAGGAGGGGTCATGTGCTGACCCTGCAGTAATCAGAGCCTTGAGCCTCTCCCTGAAGAGACGAACACCCCCTCAGAAGCCTTTCCGGCTTCCTGACAGGCCTGTGGAGGCAGATTCCCCGGCCTGGTCTGTCCACATCACTTAACCCTTTAGGAAGCCCTGTTTTCATGTCCAACTCTCTGCGATTCCATGGACTGTAGCCCACTAGACTTCTCAGTCCATGGGATTTCCCAGGCAAGAATACTGCAGTGAGTTGTCATTTCCTCCTCAGGGGATCTTCCTGACCCAGGGATTGAAACTGTGTCTTCTGCCTTAGCAGGCAGATTCTTTACCGCTGAACCACTTGGGAAGCCCTAGGAAACTTTGGCACCCTCCTATCCTTAACTGCTTTTTCTCAGGGTTTAAAAACTCCGTGCACAATCCATGTTACGTCAGATGAAGCATGCTCCTTGCACAGTGATTTCTGGCGGCATGAAAGAAAAAGGAATGTCTGCAAAACATGATCAAGATAGACATAAAAGTCAAGAGAAACCTTGTATTTTGAGCTTTTTTTGCAGCCAGTTCACCGAGGGAAAGATTAGGAGTTTCATGGTTCTGATATTCAAAAGAAGAGGCATACAGTTTCTCAGGAGGATCTAGGTTTTTGTGGCTCTAAATTTAAACACCCGTCCATCCACACATGCCTCAAAAGCCAATTGCCAATGTATTGCCATGTGAAACCTGCAAAAGTAGGTTCATTTACTTTTATTTACCAATTCATGCATTCTCTCTATGTAGGCAAATAGGTACAAGAAATCTGACCCCTCCTGAAGAAACCCCACCCAAAACAAAACAAAACCCCCCAAGTCAGGAATAAGCTTATCGCTTTTATTAAAGAGATGCTGAAGAACAAAGTAGATAGTTTTTTAAAGATTCTTTTTGATGACTGTTTTTTAAGTCTCTGTTGAATTTGTTGTTATATTGCTTCTGTTTTATGTCTTGGATTTTTGGCTGTGAGGCTTGTGGGACCTTAGCTTCCTGACCAGGGATGGAACCCACAGCCCCTGTGTTGGAAGGTGAACTCTTATTTTCACTGGACTGCCAGGGAAGTCCCCAGACTAGATAATGTTTTTATGATGGTGTTCTTTGGTTTAGATCTTTGGTAAAGACTGAGTATGAAGGACACATGAGGTGAGATGCCGCCCCAGACTGAGGTGATGGCCGTCGGGGGTGGGGGGGGGCTTCCTGGTGGGCTGAGTGGGAGTGTGAGCAGAATTGACACACTTACAATATCGGACCAGGAGGTCGCCGCCTGCCCCCGACTACCTGAGTGCAAGATGAGACTTGAACTGGAAAGAAAGATCCCTTAAGGGAATTCACTAAAAATGGGAGTAACATAGTAATGATGTCAATGGTGGGGCAAAAGAGTTTGAGAATTTATCTTGAAAAAAAAAAGGAGGGGGAGTATTTTGAATTTGTCTTGTATTCAAGGGAATTTAGGTTCTTAATGCAATGATAAGTTGTAGAACCAATGAAGAATTAATCAGGTGTTGTTTTGGCAGGTAATAATTTTTCCAATAAAGTGTATACTAGCTCTCCATGTTCTCCTTCACATCGTGTATGATTTTCTCAGCTCTGTCATAAAAAAGGTCAGTTGTGCTGAGATGTATAAGCTCACCATCCGTTTCCCCAGGAGCCCCTCCTAGCCCCTTGCTGTTCACGTCACTCAGTGGGAGCCCCAGTGTGACACCAGCTTTGTCAGTTTCCTGGTCCTCAGTCGCACAGTCAGGCCCTCCCACACTTGCCAACGGCTTTGGGCCGGGTCTGAACATCCCTCAGCTTTTTTTTTATGGACTTTCTGAAATTTTACATGTTTTGCAAGATTTACAGTCTGACTTGATCTGCACCGCACTTCCACAGCCTCACAACATGACTCCCAGGGCGTTCAGTGTTGGGGGTGTGTGTGTGTGAGAGAGAGAGAGACAGAGAAAGAGGCGGAGAGTAGATGATTCTGGAGCTACGCAGTGAGGGACGCCTGAGCGGAGCCCGATTATGCAAATAGTCAGTCCGTTCATGAAACTCCTTGTGTGATGACCATGTCTCTTCCTCTGCAGCCTCCGGACCGCAGGCCCCCAGGCGGCCGAAACCTGGACCAGCAGGACTTCAGGCATCGCGGTCTTGCAACAGGCAAGGCATGGCCAGGGTTTGCCTCGGTCTTGCAGAGGCAACATCCCTCTAAATTTTTATGAGATACGGCAGTTAGTGGAACCCCTTTACTTATTTATTTGGCTGCACCTCCTGGCTTTCGGGATCTCACTTCCCTGACCAGCAGTTGAACATGGGCCGCAGGCAGTGAAAACAGTACTAACCACTGGACCACCAGGGAAGTCCCAGAACCACTTTATTTGTATGAATGATGCTCGCTCTCACTTCTCTTGGCCAGTCTGGGTCACAGCCATTGGAGATTACATTTGTAATGCATGCCTGGGACACAGCCATCAGATACAGATATTTTATTACATTTAGATCATAGATAGCTTCGAGTGAGTGAGAAACCTGCATCCATTCAGATTTTTTCGAGTGTAGGTGGCAGACACAGATGTGAAACCATCTTCTGCCCAAAAGGAGAACAGACGGGTTTGTACAGAGGAGACCAGAGCCCTGACATCTCCCTCTGCCTCTCAGCTCTGCAGGTGCGTGGGCTGTCCCGGTGCCGCGGCGAAACCACCAGCCTCCACACCTCAGCAGCTTCCCTTTCCTTGGGTCCCCAGTGCAACTCGCATGACTGAATCTCCTTAGACCATCCTGGGTCATGTGTCTGTTCTTGACTTAGTCACTGTACAAAAAGTTAATGTCAGGAATTCCCTGGCTGTCCGGTGATTAGAACTCGGAGCTTTCACTGCTGTGGGTTCAGTCCCTGGTCGCAGAACTAAGATCCCGCGAGCCGTGTGGCTCAGTCAGAAAAAGAAAAGAAACAGTTAACACAAAAGCATTAACCCATGTATCTAGGAGTTTAAAAAATACTTCTAAATAACACATGTCAAAGAAGAGGTTGCAAGTGGGAACGACAGAATAATTAGGACTTTCTACTGGAAACCACTCGCTCACTTTCCGCTTCTATGGTTCAGCCTGTCCTGGGCATTCCCTACCAGTGGGCTGGCGTTCTGTGGCCTTTCGTGTCCGGCTTCCGTCCCTCAGCCTTTGAGACTCAGCTGTGGTCTGCCTCTGTCAGTGCTTTATCCCTCTTGGAGAAACCATTCTTGCTCGTTCAACAATTGGGGGCATTAAATGACATCCCACTTGCAGAAGGGGCTCCTTTAGGGCCTGGCCCACACGAGGCGCTTACAGACTCCCCTTGCCCTCACGAGTCATGGAGTTTCCCTGGCAGTGCCCTGCACACAGGCCCTCGCGTGATCCGTGACACCAGCCTCTCCGTGCGCCAAGCTCTGGCAGCAGCAGAAAGACCGGGAGAGGCTCAGTCCCTGATTCCCCTCGATGCCGGCTCTGGTGTCAGAGCAGCGTCCTAGGGACCGTTGGGGCTGTGAGGTCCTGATGCAACGGCCCCCTCTCCGGAGAAAGGCTGTGATGACGCAGAAGCCGCGCCTTGCTGGAACAGGACGTGCGTTCAGAGGCAGGCACGAGAGCTGTGGGGGCCGCGAGGGCCAGCGTGGCGACCAGGGTCAGCCTCAGGGTGTCTGCAGACCTCTGTGCATTCGGCAGCCCTGCGGCCAAGGAGGGGGCGCCTTCGTGCTTGCGGACCCCGGCTGTCACCCCAGCCTGCCGCTGCTCTGTCTGCCCTCGGCAGGCTGCAGCCTGGTCTCAAGGCGTGGCTACGTGCCCGCAGTCACCTGTGTGGTGTGGGGTGCCCCTGCTCGGCGGTTCCAAAGAGCCGTGCAGAAGCAGTAGCACAGAAACGGGACAGTTCCAGCCAGCAGGCTCTGGGCCCAGAAGCGACCCTTCGCTGCACCGTTAGCTGGGAAAAGATGGTGAACCATGAATTTTTTACGAACTAGGTTTATCTAAGTTGAGGGAGGGAAAAGGATATAAAGATTAAAGGCAACCCATTGAGAACCACATGTATTTTATTACAGAAACAAAACCCTGGGACTACCTGAAATTCTAATTTTTCCTGAGGGAAACAAACACCATTAAGACTGGGCCCAGTTTATGAGGGTCCGGGGCGTGTTTCCCCAGAAACGGCGTAAATCTGCTTCCCAGAGAGTATGCAAAGACCGTTTCCAAGACGCCTGCCACCCAGGCCAGGCGTGGAATTACCACTTTCCCGTGGAGGCTGGTGCCGTCTCTCCGGCCAGGTTCCCTCTCCGTGGCCCAGCGGTGCCCCCAGCTTTGGAGCTTTATGTCAGCAGGAGTATTTTTATTTAATGTCACATGGTAAACACAAAGAAAACCCTCTGTTTTCTGACCTAATTTCAGCAGGGCACAGAATTAAGAGTTTAGCTTGTCACCTTGTGTTCTCCCGAACCTAGTCAGGCTTCAGTATTTTTGTTCTTGGAGCGAAGCTCCTCATTAAAGATATTGAAGACTTCCTTGTACTCATATCTTGTACTATTTGTTTAGTTCTTTAATAAATGAAACCCTAATCCAAGTGCAGTTTCTGAAAGCCTTTCTTTCAATATTTTAAGAAGTTATTTCCCCTGATGAGAAGCTGTCTTGCTGCCCCGTGTTGAGCTGAACGACAGAGCCTGCCAGGCTGGTTTTCGGTCGTCCTCCCCTCTCTTACAGGGAGAGGACGGAAAGCCAGCATACGGCTTTGATAAAGGTCGGCCAAGTTGGGTTGTATTCTAGTTGGTGTGTGAGACAGGGGTCCAGGGTAGTGGGTGGGAGTGGGGAGGGGGTAGGATGAAGCGGAAGGATGAAGCCCTGCCCCTGGGCCCTGGCACTAACTTCTGATGACCATGGAACGCCCTTCTGTGCTCTGGGCCTCAGTTTCCTCATCTGTAAAATGGGCAAACTGACTGGGTGGCCTCCGGGCGCCTCTGATCCATCCTCTGAGCTCCTGGCCTGTGCCGCGGACAGGGCCGGGCAGGGATGGGGAACCCGGCGTAGGTCTCGTCCAAGCAGGGAGGGCGTGGAGCGCTCTGGGGAGGCCAGAGGCTGGCTCGCCTTTCTGAAGGCCCGTTCCGCATCTGCACACTGGGCGGGGGCCTATACCCCGTGGAGGGTCTGGGAAGGCAGCCTGAGCACAACACGTGGACTGTCTGACCACTGGAAATGCCGGGCCTTCCGTTGGAGGTGGTGAGCACTCTCCCTCCGGAGGTGTTGAGGCTGGGTGGTCACTCGGGGTACGGTTGTGCTAGGGTGTCTGCGCTGAGGGGACTGGACTCTTGAAGGCTTTTCCGAATCCAACATCTGCGGTTCTGTGAGTCAGGGTGGGCCGATGACCACAAGAGATGTGGCTACTAGAGCGTCTCCAACAAGACACACAGCTGAACTCCGCAGGGAGCCGCCGCGCCAAGTGCTGGCGGGAACGCGGAGCATGGGGCGCCCTGCACTGCTGCTGGAGGTGCCGAGCGGGGCGGGCACCTTGACAAGCGGCGTGGCTCATCTCACAGCGGTGAAGACGCACGTGCCACGCGACTTCCTACACGTTGATGTTTACCCGGGAGACACGAACATTATTTCATACCGACACCTGCACACAGGCGTTCTCAGTGACCAAAAACTGAATTCCAGCAGGTCAACGGATGACAAGCTGTGTCCATCTGCGGACGGAGCACTACTCTCTGATGGGAAGGAGGGAGTTATCGGGGCTTTTGATGGCAGGGATGGATCCCAAGAACAGAACCAGGAAGGAAGCCCAGCAGGGAAGGCAGTGTGCTCTGTGAGTCAGCT